ATATAATTGACTATAAGCAGTGCAATGACAATGCTAAATGGTTGGATATCTCTGAATTGTTAGCCCTAATGCATCATGTGGTACTTCACTTGTCATATTTGTCCCTCTCCGTCCCTGTGCAATCACAACCATATCTACAAAAGCAAGAATACATTCCTCTGCCATGGTGATCGCAGTCGGCAAACCATCTTGAACTTACACGCATATTCCCACCCTCGTGCTGTCGCCCCCGCACAGCTCCTCAACGATGCTATTATATTTACAAGCGCGCACACGGAATGTCCCAAATATCAATCCGTGTGTATAGAGGGTAAACTGAAAACAAAACAAACCTAAAAATTTATACCACAGAACAACCAACACGCCACACAACTAGTGAACAATTTCGTGTAGTTTTTCAGTACCCCATGTCCGAGAAGTCGTGGTAATCACGAACACGCATACTCCCAATCTCATTTGTGAAGAACAAAGTATGGCACTAACTCACAACAGAACATGCACAAGCACATTAAACAACTCGGCGTACAAATTTCACTACAATAGAGGCAATATACTATATTTCACTACAATAGAGGCAATATACTATATTTCAGATTAAAGATAGTAGGAGCGATCTACATACCAATATTATATTTCTGCACCGATCACCTCCCAACACGCCTTATCTTAAAGGTCTAGTCGAACGAGCACAGAGCACTCCCAACGGCATAACATGTACGGCCTTCTTGAACATTGGCATGTCCTTGCTTCTTTGATGTGAAAGCCTGGGCAGGTTAGCTAAGCAACACAACACTCGCTGCCAAGAACAAAAATAACACCCACAACGAATTGGGTTACCAGACGAAGACCACATGGAATCCCACCGCACGCGGTAGTACATAAGGCGATGACTGAACCAACCAATCTAGCACTAGGCTGGTTGGTTCAGTCACTACTTTATTTACTGCAAAACTGGAAAGTGTCGCTAGTACTTCGATCTTACTCCACGCGATCATAGAGCTGTGGCAGTCGCAGCAGGGGCGTATGGTTCCGTGTAACTGTCACCGTGCTTGTCCTCACAAGTGACCATGCGAGTTTTATAGCGCGTTAGACGACCGTGCTCATCTTGTTCAATAGCAAGTACATTTTTATTGTGGATGGCATTAGCGAAAACGGGCACATAAAAAATAAATAGGTAATGTCTGTGAGTTCACTACGTTCAGCGTTGATGAATTGTTGTCATTATGACCGGTCGGCGAGTTTCATAGCAGCAGAGATGAATTATAGAACTGTTGGGTCGTAGAGTGAGACTGGCAATATGGTTGGTTGTTCGGTGGATAAACTAGGTAACGTTTATAGTCCCTAGCTACCTGTTTTCAGTTGAGCCATATCGCTACGAAAGTATTAAGATATAAATATTTGGATAATTAATACGCCTTTTAATAGGCCTATTCCAAATCTAGTCTTTGGAGCGTTCGGTGTTGATAGCTTGTTGCCATTGTGACCAGTAGGCGAGTTTCATGGATTTTGGAACTGTTGGGTCGTAAAGTGAGACTGGCAATCTGGTTGGCTGTTCGGTAGACAAACTAGGTAACGTTTATAGTTCCTAGATACCTATTTTCAGTTGAACCAACTCGCTACGGAAGTATCCAGATATAAATATTTGGACAATTAATACGCCTTTTAAAATAGGCCTTTTCCAAAACAATCTTTGGAGATTTAATAAGCTTTTCAGAGATCTACTCTAAATATCTGATTTTTAAACTGGAAAAGGTTCTTATAAAAATAACCGTTAAACCTATTTGGTTAAGATTAGTTTTTTGTCCTCTTCGTGTTCAGGTTTGACTGTGGTGAAATCCAGAAAAGCTGAGTCGGGCCTCAGGTGGGAGATCCGTTTGGTGAACAAACAACAGGTTGTTAGGGAAGAAGGTGGGAACTGGCTCATGGGGCAGAGCATGCTGATGAACAAGATTGAAGATACCGACTGCAGTTAATGAGTCACCATGGAGATCAGGTTTAGGGTATAATATTATTTATTTCAAAGACGATAAGCTACAATGTATGTACATATGGTATGGCTCTCATGGCCGTTGTAGTGGTTCGGGGAAGATCGATGGGTAGAAGTGGTCAGTAAATTCCCGTTTGAAGTTTGGTCAAGAGAGTCGACGATAGAGGATACGCGCTGGGTTAATTCAGGCCAGCGCTGACAAAAACCGACACCATCGAGTGTGCCACGTATTCGCTTGCTGACCTACTCAGTAGACCCCTGTGGTTCGAATCGGGTCTTCACCGTGTAGTGCCGTGGAATGGGTTAGTGCAGAGAACAAAATACCGAGTAGGACCAGGTTGTCGGTCATACTTCGGTTGAGGAGCGAGGTTGGGGGTGAACCGATGCCGCACCAGACCACGGATGCACTCGGTATGTGCTGGTTAGCCTGGATTGAAAGTATCATAGGCGGAACCAACAAGCGCGATGACTTGGCTTGGACCAAAATTTGGAAGTAGTACTTCAACAGCGTGATTAGCCGGGGTATGGGGAACATGTGTTGAGGTGTCAGAGACGGGTGTGGGTACGGGGGCTGTTCTACATGCTGCAGACATAATTCAAGGTGTTCGTGGAGGGTACATATACCGTGGAAGTCGTTGCGCTCCTGTAATTGCTGGAGGAGATCAGGGATATTGGGCGGCAGTTTCTGGCCTACCAGGATGCGTTAGATCAATAGTTGGATGCAGGTAAAGTGGCTGGTGGTGAATTTGTGGCCACAGGGGCAGACAGGGCAGAGACAGCCGTCGGTGCGGTAGTCGAGCAATGTGAACATGTACGTAATCGTTACAGTCGTGGCATAGATACTGTACGGGTAGCGCAGTGATGGTTTGTCGTGGTCCCAGGCGGATTGCGTCAGAGGGGTGAGTGGGTTTGTGCTGGCCATTGAGTCGAGTTGTAGTCCCAGGCAACCTCCGAGGTAGTCCGCGAATGGTCGCGTGGGGAGCACGCCACAAAAGTGGAGTAAGTCTGTTGATGTTTGGGAAACCTAGGGTATTCGGTGCCCGTGATGATGGCTGCTGCTTGGATGAGTGCTGAGTTATAGCGCTCAAACCACTCTCTTATAATTGACAATCTAACAACTTATCAGGTCTCTGCTTTGCTCAAAATGTTTCAATATGAAGAACACCAAGTGGACGCCGGAAAAGAAACTCAACGGTCATGGTAACTACAAGCTTGGGGTTATGGAATATGGAAAATAAACTACTAATCAAAGCCCGCCACCATCGAAAATGATGAACGAGACTGGAATTTCGACGAGATTGGAGTGGCCCAACGCTCGATAATCAATATCGTATCTCCCGCTATAATGGCTATCCTGAGTGAACAGATGACCCCAAAGGCTATGTATGTACAACATATGCCAAAATTATGGATAAGTAGGAGAAGGTGGAAAGATTCGCAAGAGACAGGTACTTGGCACAATTAACAATGCGACAACGAGAATATGGATCAATTTCTACTTCGCTAGAACACAATTTTGTCGAGGCATGCAACATGAGTATTGTTCTTTCTGAAGCCGAAAAACTCGCATTTCTAACCAGTGCTCTCCACAAGGATTACATTTATATAGGAACTCATCTGCTACTCGACAACAATATGTTAGTATGCTACGGGGATGCTTTAGCCTATGGATCCGATTTCTGGCCATGCCCGTCGTGGTCGGATTACAAGGTGCGTTGTCAAAACTTCCTGGGGCTGGCGCCTAGACAATTCCCCGAACCCTATGGACACCACCAATGTAGCCCTAGTTTAATATCTCCGTAATTAGCGCGTGCAAAAATGTGGGCATGGCTTTGCAGCACACATCATCGAACATGGCATGTTCCTCCTACGGGGACTCTCTCAAAAAGTCTGTGGATCAGGCAGTTCTCCAACCTACAACTGCCCGTCTCAACGAAACTTACGAAAAACGACAACGCGCCGCTTCTGCCGCTGACGTGGAAGTGCAGACCAACGAAGCTGATTCAGTTAATATATACACCACACCAGCGGACGATGCTGTGCCACCGACCGAAAGTGCAAGCAATACTACCGAGAGCAATACTCAGACCGCAGTACCCTCGATCACTAGATCACTATCTTGGATCCTGTCAGACTGACGCTACTCAACCCTCGCGGACTCAACTTCGACAACCCGGCCAAAGAGGAGAAGCGTTTGAATAGTCGATCGATTTTGGAGCAAGTCGATTTTATGTGCGTACTTGAAACGTGGTGCAACACAACTTTCTTGAATCATATACGTTCAAGCACTCCGTACCATATACTGCATCATACTACACGTCTCAACCACAACGCCCAGTTCCAGTTAGTATGCTTTCCCCACTTGCAGTTTACTTTACCTGCTTTGGTATACATATGATTCTCTCTACTTACTCATTCGATTGTCTCACGAACATCGAGGTCCACAACTACGTGAACCCTACTGAGAAAGGCTCCTGTCAACCTGACATGATATGAAAGAATCTCAATTTCTAAGCACGCCAATATAGACATCCGACCAATACTCATGTACCGCGACCCTAGCTGTCGAAGCAACTTCTATGAGCATCAATAGAAACTGAGCACGCTTGTCATCACGCAATGACTCCCGGCTCGCTTCAAACATACCAGCGAGCCAATTGTGGTATACATGAGGATCACGTCTACGGACTTGACTTGTAGGTTATCCCGTCTACCAGCGCCGCCTGCCTCGACAGCCATGTATACCAAAAGCTTTGAACTCAAATCCCACCCTAGCCAATTTGTTCAGCTCGGCTAACCCACATTTGATCCCTCCTGAAACGGCGCCCATCCAGGACATATTAATAGTAGGGATAATCTTATTTATTTCAAGGTGGCAGTAGCATACGTACTTTTTACCAATGGTAACGCATGATGATTGACTAGTATCGTGAATTAGGTAGTCTTACATCCAGTCGGGTTGGTAGTCGTCCTTTGCTGGCCCTCACGGCCCGTTTCCACCTAATTTCACCAGTTTTCAGAGCCGTTCGATATTCAAGGTGGCCAAATTTTTAGTTTTAGCGGGCGTTCTGCACTCTTGACTCTGGTCGAGTAAGTGAGAAGTTTCTCAATCCTTGAGCGAGATTTGAGCTTGGGGTTCACAAAAACTCTGTCAAGTATCGCGCCAGCTGACCTAGTTGGGAGCCCAACTGACCCCAACTGACACAGTTGATAGCATCCTGAAATGGTCATGTACGCCATTTTGCAATAGCCCAAACGGCATTCATATTCTTCTACTCAAAGCTGCCGTCGAACCTCCCCTGATCCCACTAAGCACAATCGTCCTAATTCCAATAGCCCACTGATTCTTTTACTAGCCGAGGTTTTCTCTGCACTCCTCATCTCAGGGACTTTCCGGCTTTTCTCAAGTGCACACTGCTGACAGCCCATCGCCGACGCCTACATACTCTGCCCGGCGGACTGCCACCCCATTATCCTTGCATAGATTGTGAGGCACATCTCTGAGAAATGCGACCTCCAGCTGAAAATCGCTTACCCAAGCTCGGCTATAATTACCACACGCGCCGGCTTCAAATCCCGGTACTCATGTCATACAAACGCCTTGGCCGCTATGGAGACCGAGGCGTAGTCCGATGATATATGAAATGATGTTTGCCTTGATATTACAAAAGCTTACGACAAGGTTGTCCTTCCCCGTCTGAGGATGTTACTTCGTCATGCCAGTATGCCTTAGAACTGGATCAACTGCCTGCGAGGTTTTTTGGATAGTGAGCTTGCCGCCAGTATCCCACTGAACCAATAGTATCCTCCAAGGGTCAATTGTTGGGACACAGCTGTTCATAATCTATATGAACTCATTAGGTATCACCTTAGTCCTGTTCCAGCCCAAACTGCTACTCTCGTATCTGTTCGTCAACGACACGCTAATCTATGCCCCTGAGATATCACCTATGCAACCCGTCCTGGTGAAGAGTCCGGCCTGGAATAAGGAACTGTCAAGCCCAGCAAGCGGTCCTCCAGCCTCACCTACGCAGCACCACCTATACGCAATCAATGAATATCGCTTGAATCGAAGCGGCCGCTATCGTCACTGATATTAAGTTTGCGATCTTCTCATACCAACGAATCCGACTTTTGCACTTCTCTGGGCTCTTACCAGCGCGCAACTTTGCTCAATACCTGGGAAGATTTTTTGGTCTCCATCTCGACTCGATGGATAACACAAACCTCAAACCCACTTAACCTCCTCACCAGGATAGAGTAGGACTCCACAGTTCTACCGTTACAGCATCTATGGGGACCTTGCCTCTATGGGCGGATGTAACCCACCTCCGCCAAGAGACCCGGTCTCGCCTCCCATCGAAAGTTATAACCAACAGAGCCCGTCGTCACTATTATTACCGCTTGGTCAAAGGCGTCGACTCTATGGACTCCTTACTGATTGCTGCCTACACATTTGTGTTCAAGCTGCTGGACTACCGGAGTGCGGGCTGCCACTGCCCGAAATGTTCTACCGCCCCGAAGTCTAACCAGGGTTACTTCCCTCACATCAGCCCACTTATCCAGCGAATCCTGGTTGGCACCAAACTCTCATCAACTACGTGCAAGACTACCATGGGATTTGAATACCTCGGGAACATCTTGATCATTTCTTCTCCACAACCCCCAATCCAAACCTTACCTCCCCGGAAGAAGTCATCACTCTTCCCCATGCCCTGCCTTAATACCTAGCTGAAATTTTGTTTCGAAATCTCGGTCCAAACCAAGGCCTCAAGGCTACAAGTTCCCCAATGCTCCTCGCAAGAATGGCACCCAAACAAATTTTCTCCTCCTCGGTAGTCTGGTGTGGAAGCGGTGCGCCACCCAAATCGATCCGTGCAAGAGTGGCTACAGATCTTCTCATTTTGATTAGGTTCTCAAACAATTTTTCGATTAAAACCGCCAATGAAACCATTCTATTTGCTACCACGAAAATTGACCACCTGCCCCAGTCCTCACAAACTCAATCAAATATAGGATTCACGACCCATCCAGTGATGAGGTTTTTTGAACCGATCACCATAATTTCAGACCTGAGCCCCTGATGAACTATTGTACCCATCTGTCTATCCAGAGCCTCTCGATCGACTGTAAAAAAGCCCAACCCTCGATAATGATGAAATGACTTGACGATTTGAAATAAATACTTTCATCCCTATCATATCGAACAATATTTCTTTTGTAAAAAAAGAAAGGGTCATGTCTACTCGCGACTACCAGGGCAATCCTGGGCCCTGGGCCCTGTGCCTGTGGCATATACTACATAATAGGAAACTATTTATAGTGGTACAGATCAGACAAATTTCAACCTTTTGGAAAGCTAATTTGGCTATGCAAATAGCACATAGCCTGTATAGGAGGGTTAGCATACATGAAACACTCAATTCTCCCCGCCCTTATAATCTATCCTACACCTTCGGTATATATAACAATGTCTCGGAAAAAAGGGGCATACTCCGGATTCAGCCCTCATGACTCATAAAATGAGTGTAAATACGTCTGTACGATGAACAACACAAAATTGGCTCACAAAGCAGCACCATGAACCGCGGTATCTTAACTTCACCACCATCGAGAGCGATATATTTATTTCAGAAGTTCACACCATAACCTACACTGCACTATACTACGTTGCGTTGTCGCGGTCACTAACATGTCTTCGCTTCGGCATATCATCATCAGGTCACGCGCTCTCATTTGATTGCGCTTCATGTCACATGTTTGCTGAAACACATTTCTATAGCACCTGAATTCTCGATTGGTCACTCCTCCAGCTCCACCAGTAAAGATGGGAACACTCCCGTCTATAATAAATTTAAGGGAAGTGTGAGTTGGTGCAAATGTATCACGATTGACAGTACCTTCAAACAATGGAAGGTGCCCAGTGTGCATTCAGAACGCCTAATAATCTTAGAAATCAGTAGTGACGGTACTTTCACAGTACGAGGTAGTTTAGTTGGACTCAATGGAAAGTGAACTCTGTACGGATGCGGGAGCCGGTAGCGAATGTACGTATCGCGTGCCTGAGGACAGCGTATGTTTAAAAATTTGCGCGCGGTGCTCATATTTTCAGTGCCCGTGCATGCCTGGCTACTACTACTTCATCACTACATCAGGGCACACTTTCCTTATGTGCACTCGCTTCATTCACAGTCTTTGACAATCCGACGTGACAATAGCAGAGAAAGGGACAACTCTCCGACAACCCACGAGATGAAAGCAGTTGCAGAAACCCAAACAGGTTAAGCACCGGCCTGCTCCGAGCCCTATATTCTAATTTCCACTGAAGCAATGGATGCCCCCGATTGCTAATTCGAACCAATACAAAACATTCACAGAGCGCAAACCACAAGATGCTTAACAATGCTTACCCTTCCATTACAGCTGCCCATCCAGAAACCATCATCGTCCTCATCGAACTGAGTGACTGTGATACGATCGCCTTCTTCAAACAGCAGCTCGTTGGGATCGCCCGTCCCTTCGTGGTCGTACTGGGCTATTGCTACAGGCCCGGCGTCTATACAGTGTCAAGTATTACGATGGAAGGGTAAGGCACGCGGCAACGGAGGCTTAAGATAATCATACTGACCGGATGAGGGAGTATTTAGAGGAATGTATTGCTACATAGCACTAGTATCTTCGTTGCACTATAAAAAATCGATGGATGGTCAAGTTTTGCTATCAATTTGAACGTACATTGATTAAGACAATCAATCAATGTCGGTTTGGTCTTGCGAGTGAACGCTCTCAAACATCACGTTGTTTCGCACCACTGCCCCCACACCCACGACGGACATAAACTCTCAAACAGCACTTTCCAGAGCACTATCGGGGGCACAAACTACGTGCGATATTATAAAAGAAAGATTCAGCCTATGATATAAATAGGTTTGCCTAGCCTTCCAGATATGTATGTGTAACAACATGTAAAAGATGCTTACAGGAGCGCAAATGAGAAACAATCCCGCGCATGTGTTTGCACGCGTACAGCCATACTATCAAGCGTCCAACGCAAGGCAGCGTGGTGGAAGAAGATAATTTAAAATTTAACCCGCTATATCTATAGCTGAGTATTCCAATTCCGATACGTATCTAAGGACGCAAGCACATTCCGATACAAGTATACGAGTTTAGCACAACACCAACTGTACGAGACAACTACAGCAACTGTTTGAGACAAACTAACGTAAAAAGCGTACATGTGCAACCTTACCTATAGTTACTTGCGGAATGCAGGTGGCAGCTGGTTCTGGTGAAGAGCTTGAGTTGGAGATAGACGCTAAGTAAGACGTTGGAACCAGTCCAACAAGACCCTGAGAGTTGCGCACACACGTCCACCCCTCCTGTGGAGTATAATTACGCATACAAGGGAATATTTTACTAAGCATAACATTGTTCTCGAGTGCAAAGACATAGGTTTCGTCAGAGGCGTGCGAACACCGAAAATTTGTATGGAGTCGGGGTCATTGCCTGACACAAATATCAGAATAGGATACGCTCACCACACCGCCAATACCAAATGACATGCCGAGTGCGGGTTTAATTAGGAGTGACAGCATCAGTGTTTGTGTGCCTTGTTATGGGCAGTGATGACACGACGTGTTAAGTTCAAGGATAGGCTCTTCGAATACTCAATAAGGAACGGATGTATGTACATATATATATGGATTAAACACCCTCACCATCATACTCTAGGCATACAAAAATCCGCACACAAACTGTACACCACCAAATCCTATACAGAAATGATACTCCCCGCACCACCATGCATTCAGATCACACCAGAAGATGATATAATTATGTGGATTGTTAAATAGCCGACTTCTGGGATAAAGATACAGATGCGCTAGGTATAGATGATCGCACATACAGGGATAGTCTTCGCACCGGCAAGCAATTTGGATGGCAAACGCATCAGTCGCTTGGAATGCGAATGGCGGACTCGTATGGAGAGGTTAGAGTCACCAAACGTAATAACAATTTGCACGTACATCACCGGATAACATCAGCAAGCAAACTACTGCCTTTGACTGTGTGACTACTATACATATACGCACGGATAATATAAATACACCACATTTCAACCGTTTGCCATACCAAGCCATCTAAATATACCAGAAAACAACATTTATCTTGGAGTGTGTGACATTCATATCCTTCGCAACTACAATATCGCGGTACAACATAGTCAGATTGTAGGTACAAGATTTAAGTAGGTCACACATTAATCGTCGTGGCAAGTTTCACGCTGGCCCTAAACTTCTGCGATAGTGAGCTAGTCAGCAACTATGGCATCGTACTGTGTACGGTGCGATACTGGCAAACACACCACTACCTTCGAGCGTGCACGACCCAGCACAATAGGAGAAAACAAGTACATACAACTACAAACAACCAAAGTGCACCACACTCACATCATCGGGGAATTCTTCACACAAGCCTTCTCCCTCTGTGATCGTCAACTCATCGTCAGCTGTGGCATCGTATGCGTACTGTGCGAGAAGTGTGGGTGCGAATGCATTGGAAACAGGTCGTGCTGAGGGACGGGGTGGGGCGGCTGTCGGTGGTTGTGCGACAGCGTGGTCGTCAAAGTCAGCATCTGATATATATACGTAAGCAATTAGTTAGGCACATGCAAGATTGCAAGTATATGCGAGTTCACCAAGCACTTGTACGAAAGCCTATACGTAAGCATACGTGAGTGCACTAATTATAGGTAGGCAATCATATATAACTAAGCATATGCAAGTATATGTGAGGTCACCAAGTACAAGTACGTAAGCATATACGTAAGCACACGTGAGTGTACTGAATAAAAGTATGTAAGTATACACGCAACGATGAGACAAATAGAAGAACCAGATGATGGGGTTCGTCGTACCGCACTATCTGCCTGTTTTGTGAGATACTGTGTTCGTCCCTAAGTTTTCCCAGGACGTGTCAGATTCTTTCACACACTTTCATGCATGCCGTAGACCATCTATCTGTAGGACCACGGTTAGGATCCGTGTTCGCATACACACAACACAGAAGGAGAGTATCCCACTCAGTCATACGAAACAGACAGACAACTTGTCCCCTCCACCACGAATACCCGAATGACTTACCCATACTGTTGATGCTGCCAGTGGCGTCTCCCGGGGGTGCCTGAGAAGCATTTAATGACACTCCCGACGACCCTCTCCATGAGGCCAGACTATGTGCATCTCCTTCTGTGGCAGTCAAGTGCTCTTCTGCGGCACTCTCTGGCACCGGCACTGCGCAAGCAAGCAATGTGAGTGGAATTATAATTTAATTACTCATGTATGGCTCATGGTATGTATTGGGAGATGATCTATACAGGCCGTGTAATATATCGCGACGGTCTGTGGTACTGATCGAGAAGGAGTTCATATTGTCGATTTACAATACGAATGCGTAAATAACAAAACCTGATCCATGACTTGACCCCGTTCTAGTTTCTCAGGCATTTCCACATTTATCGCTCAATAACAGAGGCAGGTGGCTGTATGTATACCTCGCACGTGCATACAATGCTAACACGCAAGTGTGTATCAAAACACCTATGCCGAGACATTTAGGTCCGACTACGAGCATCTTGATAGATGAATAGGAGCGGAAACAAATGAGTATGCAGACATCACAGATAAAGCACTTTTTACCTACAATCGTATACGCACACTTCTGATCTATAACAAACACAACATGTAAGTTCCCAGTGCCGCACAAGACTACCGTGCCGCACAAGACTACCAAACGCCGCGACGTATGCTGCAAGATGATGCACTAACCTCCAACACTTTCGAGTCGGGCAATGCGTGCCTCGTTGCGGATAACTTCCCATTCGGCTTCGATCATCTCGGCTCGTTCATTCGCCACTACTTCCTCAATCTACACACAAACACAGCACCGAAAATAAGAAGAATACGAGCTGAGCCGCCAGTCAGGTGAGATCTCTACGCTGTCATATTGACAGCTAGTTTTGACACTTGAAATATCGCGTAGATAGGATCATGGGACCGAAGGTGTTGCACTATACATGATGCGCAGATATATATAAAATAATAATATAATAATATATTAATATATCAATTTCATAATATATAGATATAGATATAGATATAGTTATAGATAAGATATATATACATATATATATATATATACGCTCACGAATAGACGACGCACTCAAGTTTTAACATTGGTGGGTCGATGTGGACACATTTTATTTTGTTTGTTGAGGTTTATATGGACACAACCATATGTTTGTGGCGTTTGTATTCAAACACAATTAATATTTATACATGTGTTGGCATGTACCAACTTGTAGAGACACAGTAGACTCTACAATATCAAATACACGTTGCATTATCCTAAAAACAACAACAATTACTACTTCACACAAGCGCCACTAGCGATTCCCCCGAAGAACTGAAGGTACACCAGATAAAACTGGCTGTAGCATCAACGTTTCCTATCTATATGATTAAAAATAAATAAGAATATATACATGTATGTATGATTGTTTCCGTCACCATGTTTTGTATCTGCAGACATATACACAAGTGATCGGGATTCACGCTTGTGTGGACGTTTCGAACTGCCTGCCAAAATTTATCCGCTCACAACAAAACTGATAGCACACCATTAGCGCATCGGCGTCTACCACCTCTATATGATAACACTGCCACCTATATATGTACGTGTATGTGTAAGTTATGCCAACGTACTTTGTTCCTGCAGACATGTACACAAGTAACCTGAACTCACGATATGTGCGTATTCCGAGCTATTTATAGAACCTATATGGATGTTAAAATTCATTTATTCACAACAAAACTGACGACACACCGATTGAGTGGCTGCGGCATCTGAGTCACCTATGTTTGCGCTCTGGAACTGCTGCATACTGGCAGTACTCGCAATAGCTTTTTTCTTCTTCTCCACTGTGTTCCTGGCCTTTTGCGCATTATTCACATACCTTTTCGTTCAATGCGTACAACATATTTGGTAGATGTTAGAGTGAAACATATGAGCTGAACGAATGCGTGCAACATAATTAAATACGCGCAAAACATTACTACGAAAAGCCAAAGTGAAATTCAATGGCTAAAAGGTCGGGGTGCAACATAATTGCCGAATGTGAGCGTAAAATTCAATGGCTAAATGTCAGATATTCCATCTCCAACACCGGGAACACGAATCCAACTGCTCATCTCAACCTGAAAATGACACCGGTGGCTATGTGATGGCACTTCATATGATATATATCAAGCTTGTGTAGCTTATCAGCAGCACCGCTACTATGATTCCTTCGTCCTCACATGCCAACACGCATGCGGAGGATAGACATCGCACTCCAAGGGTCTAGCCTGTTCTCAAACACCAGAGTAGCTCGTGATAGCTTCACTCGTATTACCGCACACAGTGTCAGAATGCACCACACTCGCATTCTAAGATCGATATATGTGTACACCCACGCCCTACCTGTATGACAATAACTAAGGTTCGTAGTCTGGTCAACAACGCAGGGCATTTGTACAAATATATGGACGAGCTAGATTCTATACAAATTCACAAACCTCTGGTTTATGAATTTACCGTGATAAATAATAAAATACTTCTGAATACATTGTTAGGCAATACGAACACGGAAGAAAATTCCTAACAACTTCTCCCTTCTGGCTGTAGTGCGTCATCTTTTTATAGTCACACCTTTGCATAAGTGCTGTGTTTTCCACTTCATGCATTGGTCCGTTGTCAATGTCCCTGACCTCGTCCTTACCGAAGGGCTCAAAGTGGACCTTCAATGCGGCACGAATCCAAATATAAACAAAAGAGTGTGTTAGTAACCACGTGCAGACCCGGTGCTTGAGCCAAGATACGTCCGGTAGATATGTCCTTTTGTCACATACAAGTAAGGAACGATAACCGTAATTTCACGCCAATAGATTTTTGACAGTGTATTCGAGTATACACAAAGAAGACCAGTACTTTTATGCAGGCGCAACACCAAAATCCGAAGTAGTACCTTGCACCAACATAAGGACTACATATTCTGCACCAGTACACCTGCTCATACCCTCGCCTCATAGCAACTTACCTCGAATAAATCCTGGAAGAGCGAGTCACCCAGCAAGCACGACTCCTCGAACTCTTTGTCAATCTTAGCGGCAGACGCGGAGATGTCTTCCGTAAAGTCCACTTCGGCTTGTGCTACTTCTCTATGTGTAGCTGCGTAGACTTCCATATAACCTATGATCCAGTTACAATAGATACAGTTATCTATTCTACGATTGTCGCAATTATTTCCTCGCCAACCACATCCAACCGCATTGTCGATATCCAAACACAGGTATTCGGATAGATACACATAAATTTCGAAGTAGACAAATGAAGGGGTAAATTGTGAGGTGACGATAGCATATAACCTGACCAGTCGTAAAACTCGTAAAATTCGGGACACTTACAATTGCCCATGTGCTTAGGTCAAAGTTCCCCCATGCGTCTTAAAACAATTACTCTTATTGATCAAAACAGATGCGCACATATTGACATATGACAAACGGTAGCACTCACGCCAATCTAAAATTTAACGCACACGATTTCTAGTCAGGTGTCGAATCACCCCCAAGATCTTCAACACACACAACCATATACATATATACACATAAAACACTATGCTTACTCACAACCACATGCACACGGTTTATAGGTCCCCGCCATCTTGACTTTGTACGTGGTTGTCTACGTACCTTTAATTTGTGCGTGGTGATCTTCGTTGACGTGTGAGAGATAATCGGGGAGAGTCTTCTCGGTGTAGTATTTGTGCTGTGCGTTCATAGCAACTGGAGCATGGTAGGGTGGTGTGGTCAAAATGATTTAGCGGCGTACTTCGGCATGTATGGGACGTACCACCAAACTCCAATGATGACGATGGACACTCGGTTCAGCTACATGCATTGTGCAAGTGAGGGAAGCCAGTGGTCTGTATGGTGGTGACGCACTCGTGCTAAAAATCAGTATACTGGCGAACAATTAAGCCGTGGTTGATGGCTATTGAAAAATTGAAGCACCCCAGCATACAAACTAGCGTTCCGCTGATTGAGTTTTAGTATCAGTTTATACTAGTACAGAACACTACAACGGTTTCCGGCGCTTCATGTAGCTCAATTGAGTGCCTGCTGCCACCATTGCATTGAGATCAGTCCTTAGAGTGGTACACAACTAGAACAGTGCGAGAGTGCGACCCCGTGCAATACAATAGTGAGTGGCACATGTATGTGGCCGCATCTCAATGTATACTCACTACAAAAGCACAGCATAAGTTATACATGGTGCGTCTAGAGCCTGCCTGCTTGAAGAACCGGTTCGAAACCGAGTGTGCACACAGGCACACATAGACATACCCACGCCCAAGAGGTAGTCGTTCCTGGCCTTGTCCGCCCGTTGTTGGCATTCCTCAACCTTTTGACCTTGTTTGCGAACTCTGCGAATTCAGAGGAGATAGTACTAATGAGAGTGCAGTCGACCAATTCCTGACGTACGGCTCACCCACCACACTGAGATAGTCGTCTTATCACACACACGCTTGGTATCGCGATTGTTGAATAGCCCTTATAATGACCATTCACGCCAAGTCAAAGCAGGAAAGAAATCATTTAGTCACCAGCAATACACCCATCCCGCATACTCAAATAATTGCACGCACACACGCATACACACAGCGTAAATAGGCCGCGCAAGAGTAGTATGGGACACAGCACACACCTTTCTTTGATCTCATCCTTAGATTTGGTGATGGTCTTGAAACTCTTTTTGCCCTTGCTCAAGCCGTCCTTTTGTTTATCCCACTTCTCTAACTGGTATTGTGTTATACGTTCCTGATCACTGTACAACTTCCTGAGATGGTCCAAATCACGCGCGCGTTGATGGAACCGATCCTGTTTAGGTCATTGGGTGAGCCAAAGCGATAGCTGACCGAAACAAATAACTCAACCGGCGAACAAGGTTGCTGCATGCTATTAACATATGTATGCGATGTAAGGATTGTTTTCATATAGAGGATATCACGTATCAATGACGCAGTATATAGACACCTCGCAGTATGTACACACATACTTTTACTATAAAGCATGTGCAAAATAAATACGCTAACACAGCCATGCGTGCTCTAACGATCACTCACAATGCCTACACCTGAGCTTCAGACCAAATGATCAGTATTGGTTTTCGCCGACAACACGAAACACTCTGCTATTATCTATATAGCCAGCTCAAGCATACAGACGCACAAACACATGTGTATACCTGGAAGCGAGAGTGAGACTCCGCACACTTCTTCAGGTGCACTTTCTTGTGTTGGCACTTGGCCTTGATTTCCTCGCTTACAGACGCGTTCAGCCGCTCACCCGCTTTGAGATGCATACCCGCTATGCTGTCCGCTTTCTCGAGAATTGTCTGTGCACGTACGCATCGAATTGGATGTCACGCAGTGGCAAAAGTGTCAGGAAGGCACCTCCATGCAGGTGTCGTGTAAATAACACGAGAACAAACAGGTGTGAGTACCACACAAAACTCACGCTGCATATTTATCTAAAGCAACTATCCGCCGTTGAGCAGTGTTCTTATGTATTGCCAAACAAGCAAATGTGATGCACTAGTTCAAGTAGTAAACACGCGACTATACGAGCCATCCACCATTCTTGAAAGATCAGATAAGTGTAATCACATAGAAAATTACAAGTGGAATGGGGAAGTCGGGTACAAAGTTCGACTATGTGACAGCTGGGGGTTTAGGATAACGTTATACATCCGAGATCATAGGGTGAGCATCTATTGAGCCATGCAGTGGTCAGTGAGGGGTATAATGGATAGCGGCACGGGGCTATGACAGCATACCTTATACACCAATTGACTGGAAATATGTTCATTGGTCTGGTTGTTGCGAGGGTCGTGCCATCGCCTCCTACCGAGACTCTGCTGCGCCAGCTTAGACAACTGGTTCGCATAGTCTATTTCTAACTTGGCGCGTGCTTTGGTGAAGTCTCTATTGGAAGTGTCAGGAAGCGTGAAGAATTGAATGTTTGTTAAGAGTTAGTTGCCAGCATTTTGACGAAGGTTGGGTGCTCGGTATACTCGGATGCAGAGAGAAAACATAGCAAAAACACAACATACATCAAACATATCATGGATGAGCTCATACATCAGACGGAGGCCTAAGAAAGAATCGGAAAGCTTTTCAATGTGATCGCAATCAATATCGAAAAGTAAGCATGCATGTATGAATGCAAACGTACGAAAACATGACCATTTAAGCGTATGTATGTATGTAAGTATGTATGTATGAATGAAGATTCACTAAGCATGTATGGATGAATGTATGAACGTAAGCATGTACGTACGTATATATGTCAGTACCTACTAATACTTATATGCAAATGATATGTATATATATATATATATATATATATATATATATATATATATATATATATAATAATATATATATATATATATATATAATAATAAATAAATAATAATAATAT